CATGTGTAGCTATTTTTTTTTCTTTCATTTCATCCTCTAATTTGATGGGGGAATGAACACATCAGCCATTCTTCTTCCGCAAAAGTCCAACCCTTACATTGAACTTTAATTTTCACAGTAATGTGGATGTTGAGGTAGCTGAACTGAGAAGTGTGTGCTTGCTGGAAATCAGTGGGAAGTTCCGAACGATCATGCTCTCTCCGAAGACCTTGTATGAAGTCTCGTTGGTGGCATCAATGACTGAGTCAAGTCAGGGTTGGGGCGTTCCCGTGAACATCAACCTTACTCTACCGGATGCGTCAAAACTGGAAAGCATGGAGAGTTTGCAGGATATGCCCCGACGGAAGTGGAAAAACATTTTGATGGGCGAATTCATGACTTCGTGCGAAAATATCGGAGAAATCACATTTCGTATATCCGAATGCAGTGCTAATTGGAAACGGGGGCTAGTCGTCAAGGGTGTTGCTTTTCGACCCAAAAACTGAAGTTGGTAGGTGAGGCTTTGGCTATTCGTTTCTTATGTTCAAAAGGGACAAAGCAGCCTTGATTAGTGGATTGTTGTCACGACTCGCGTATGTTAGTGGGTACCAATAGGTATGTGTACATTCTTGTTACTTGCTCACATTGTGAGGCATGTTATTTCTTGTTTTCTTGAATTTATCGCTATCTAAAGAATGATAGCTTGGAACTTTCGTTTATTCAACTCTGAAGTGATTGGCTGAGTGGGTTAATCACTTGATTTGGATCTATTAGATCATGTGTTCAAATCACCATGTCATCCATTCATATTAACTTTGGGAGCCATGCCCGGCCCTTTATGGGTGAAGCCTTAGCTGATACACGTAAATGATCGATTTGTGTGTATCCATAAGGTTAAGTCGAGTGGCAAAGCTTGGATACTCATGTTAATTAGAAAAAAAAAACCTTTGATTTATGTGGAAAGACGAATTCTTTCACTCCCTATCAATCTTACTTTCTGAGTTTCAAGAGGAAGCTCTCAAAGCCAACGGGATGGACGGAAAGTTAGTTCAAAGGGATATAGATTCTTCGTTAGGCTTATTAATCATATTCTTATCTACACGCCCCATACTTGATTAAGATACGTGTAGTCATCTTGTTGAGACTATATACTATATATACTGTCCTTTTTTCAATGACCCCCACCTTCCAAGTTCACTTAATCTAAGACAAATTACCCTTGAGTCCCAACGCCCCCCTTCAAAGAAAAATTTTAAGAGTTGAACTATAACAATTATCATTGACAAACTGCCAGACTTTTAGTATAAAGTAAAAAAAAAAAATCTCCTTGAGCTTGTAAAAAGAGGAAGGGTTAATACCACGAAAAATCCAAAACTGGTATATTAGTGATAATTTTACCCCAAATTAAATTTTTAACTACAAAAAATCCCAAACTGGTACACCAGTGATAAATTTACCCCAAACTAATTTTTTACCACAAAAAACTCCAAACTGGTACACCTGTGACAAATTTACCCTCTGTTAGCTGCCGTCAAATTTTACTGTTAATTTGCTGATGTGGATGGCACATTGTGACGTGGTATGGTGACGTGACAAATTAACATTAAAATCTATAGGATAAATATCACGAAAAATCCCAAACGGGTCCACTAACGAAGAGTAAATTTGTCACAGGATTGCCATTTTGGGGTTTTTGATGGTCAAAAAATTAGTTTAGGGTAAATTTGTCACAGATGTACCGGTTTGGGGTTTTTTGTGGTCAAAAAATTAGTTTGGGGTAAATTTATCACTGGTGTATCAGTTTGAGATTTTTCGTGATCAAAAGATTAATTTGGGATAATATGAGGTTTTTCGTGGTATTAACTCAAGAAAGAAATATCAAAGTATAACCTTTAGCAGCAATGTACCTGATTTCAACTCCTGTCCGCTCCCGAATAAAGCAACTTACTTTTGTGTGAGAGACCATAACTTTCTCGAGCTTGAAACGAAGATTTTCAGTGCCATCCTTGTCTAGGCATCCCAAAAGCAGCATTTGGATTCTAGGACGTGGGCCTCATGACATCAAATTCTCTCTTTCTCGTTACTAAAGAAGCTTGTCCCTAAAAGCAAAGCCAGACTCGGATGGCCAAGTCATATGTACGTCCGATTTGAACGCCCTGAGCGCTTTAATAATTTGGTCCATTGGAATTTCGAATTTCGGTTTTATTACCAACCAGGTTCACGGGGAGCTTATGAGGTACATTAGTGTACTGTGCTCTCACTTTTTTCTACAATTTTCACAATTGGTTACCACGATTTGTCATAATGTCGTAAATCGATTTCGCCGTGTATTGCTTCGTTTTTGTAGTTGATTATGATGACATGTCGTAATATTGTACAATAGATATGAGAAATCATGGAAGTGCTTCACGTTGTCGTGTTGCAATCTTGTTTGTTTTTTTGTAGTTCCCTCTTTTCTTTCTTTAAAGAGGATATAAAAACTTCAACGTTACCTTAAGTCATGGGACGTTTCTGACGTTCGTGGAGTTAAAAAGCGATACACAGTTCCATGTTAGTGTATCACTGACAGGGTTGGTAAATGTTGAATCCACTGGGAACGGACAAGTGACAAATAACTTGTTAAACCAGTCGCCCTTTAGTAACTTACTAACAAGTTTTGTCAAGTATCAACATTTTATTTATACTTAAAAAATTACCAACTATTTTAACAATATACCAACAATTATTTTAGGGAAAATTTCAAAAATGGGCCCGAAGTTGAATCATTTTCTCAAATAAGAGTTTGAAGTGAATATTGTCTCAAATAAAGGCTTGAAGTGGCCAAATCGTCTCAAATAAGGGCTTTAAGTGGCTAAATTGTCTCAAGTAAGGACTTTTGGCTAGCTGGTGACTATTCCGTCGTCGGAGAAGGGGTATTTTAGTCAAAAAAATTATAAGTATATATATTTTACCTTCCTTTCCTTTTCCTTTTCTTTTCTTTTTTCTTTTTTCTTTTTCCTTTTTTCTTCTTCCCTCCAGCCGTCATTGCGTCTGGCCGGCGACCTCCGCTAGCCTCCGGCAAGGGCTGCCCTCGCCAACGTTGAGCGAGGGTCGCCTCGCCTGGGCTAGCCTCGCCCTCGCCAGCCCAGGTGAGGGTGGCCCTCGCCTGCCCAGGCGAGGGCAGCCTCCGCCGGCCCTGGCAATGTCCGGTGGATGTAAGAGAGGAAAAAAAAAAGAAAAGGAAAAGGAAAAGGGAAAGAAAAAAACAGAAAAAGGTAAAAAAGAAAGAAAAAAAAGAAAAAAATTCAAAAAAGTAAAAGACGAAAATACCTTTTAGCCGGTGAGGTCAGGTCCTTATTTAAGACTGATATGGCCACTTCAGGTCCTTATTTGATACAAGATTCACTTCAAACCTTTATTTGAGACAAGGTCCACTTTAGGTCCTTATTTGAGAAAATGACTTCATTTCGGGTGACTTTTTGGAATTTTCCCATTATTTTATGGCTTGCCAATGCTGTGAAAGTTACTAGCTTTTATTAGGAATTACCAACTTTAATTTGTTCAATGCACCAACATTCATCATATTAAGATACCAACTAATTTTAATAATTTAGCAACATTTTATCTTGCTTGGTTTTGAAAAATAACCACATTTAATAATACTTGCAAGATTACCAACAATTTAAATAATGTACAAACATTTATTTTGTGAGTTTACCTATGCTTTTGAAGTTACTAAGTTTTATTTAAATTACAAACCTTAATTTGATTGATGTACCAACATTCATCACATTAAAATACTAACTAATTTTAGTTAATTAACAACTTTTTTTATCTTGCTTGATTTAGAAAAGTATCTAGATTTTTTATACTCTAAAGATTACCAACTACTTTATCGATCTACCAACATTTATTCTTGTGTCTTACCGTTTCACCAGAAAAGCATAATATCTTTTAGTATACGATTGATCGAATTGAATTGATAAAAGTTGTGAAAGGAAACTATTGATTTTGGACAAGAAAGGAAATGGCTGGAAATTAAAGAATTGTAATGCAACTACTAGAAATTTAAAGTGCCGTAAAAATAATTTGCAAGTAAGTAAAGTATAAAGATAAATCTGCAAGAACATATGATAGATGTTCTGTGAATGATTATACGACTTTTATAAAGATTACAATGTAGGTATTTATGACCCACCATCGGCAATTACTTACAAGTAGTTATTGAATTTGAATCTACAAATAAATTCATAGACATATTTACAGTTAAAAAGTTACAAACACGATCTTCTACACTTGTGTTGATCCATCTTTGTCTTCATGCTCCAACACCTAGCAAAATCTATAATAGGTGGCTATCAACCTCATTGATTGATGAAGGCCTTTGTTGATAACCTTTGTGATGTTTTCTTGTTGATAACTTTATTGGCGAGTTATCCATTCCTTTCGAGTTGTTGACTATTTTGTCCATTGATGACTTCAATTTTGACCAAACTCTGTTTTCATCAACTGGTCCTGCAAGTTGTCTATAATGATTATTAATCATTTTTTGGTGTCAACACTTATGAATGCCTTGGAAGTTACTAATTTTTATCAATCTTATTTTCATTGAAATACATCATGTTAAAATACCAACTGATTTTAGTCATTGGTCAGCTTTTTATCTTCCTTGGTTCTGAAAAAGTGTCAACATTCTCTACTTCAAAGATTGCTAACTACTTTAATAATCTTGCAACATTTATTTTTGTGACTTACTAACTCTTGAAAATTGTTATAAAAAATTACCAACTTTAATTTGATTAGTGTACCAACAATTGTCAAATTAAGATGCCATCTTATTTTAGTAAGTTAGTAACTTTTTATCTTGTGTGGGGTATAAAAATTACCAACATTTATTTATACTTTCAAGACTACCATTTACCTCAATAATCTACCAACATTTATTCTTATGGCTTACCCACACCTTTGAAATTACTAACTTGTATTTGAAATTAGCAACCTTAATTTGGTGCATGTATCTACATTCAGCACATAGATACCAACTAATTTTGATCATTTAACAACTTTTTATCTTGCCTCGTATAGAAAAGTGTGCACACGTTTTTATCTTCCCACTCCTTTTGTTCTTCGCCAGGCATCCCATCTAGGAAACCCTCAGAAAGCCATAAGCACAATAACCTCCGAACTGATACCTCAGATGCTTTTGGAAAGATACCCAAATAAAGAAAGCAAGCCTTCAACTCAGGAGGTAGTTCTTGGTAGCTCAAAATCAAGATGTCTTGCAAGGCCGATTTGTCTTCGCAAGAAGATGGGAATTTGTCTATTTTTCTGGACCATTCACTTGGTTCTGTGTTCAAAAGAATCCCCACTAGAAGAACAATTCCTAGAGGTGAACCATGATAGAGCTTTGCCACGATCTTGGCCTTTTGCTCAGTTAGGGCACCTTCATGTTCCTTCATCTGCTTCAACAGCAATTCCCATCTCTCCTCACTAGTCAACCTGCACAAATGCACTGGGAAGTTCCATGGATCGGCCAATTTCGCCACTTCATCATCACAAGAAGTGATAATCACTCTACTACCATTTTTTGAGTCCGGAAAAGGAATTGTCAACCGGTGCCAAGCCTCAGCATCCCAAACGTCATCCAAAACAATCAAGTACCTCTTATCAATCAGCTCCCTGAAAAGCATCTCACCAAGAACGTCATCATTCATGTGGTCCATATCATTCAACCTTTTTATGCTAACCTGTTCTATTATGCTCATAACAACGTTCCTGTACACAAATTCTTTGGATACACAGACCCAGGCACAGCACTCGAAGTGCTTCTTCACAGCCACTCTGTTATAAACACGACTCACCATCGTGGTCTTACCTGAGCCTCCTGAGCCGACAACAGAAACGACTCTTAAAGCTTCTTCTCCTTGTGGGCCCTCAGAAATCATCAACTCAGAGACCATCTTGTCCATGTCTGATATCTGACCAACAATGTTTGATTCCTTGTCCAAAAGATGAGCAATCAAATCCCAGCGATGAAACCGCCCTGCATTCACTAAACAGCGATCCTTTTCTCGGGTCTTGCTAAGAATTCTGCTTTCTTGATTGTTCTGCTCAGAAGAGTGAGAATGCAAGGCCTTGAGATCGTTCAAGAACTTCTTCAACCCTTTGCCCAAGTCCTTTTGGCTCCATAGAGGAGCCAAGTACTGGAACGAAGGGCAGGTCTCGATAAAGTCTTTGCGTCGCTGTTGTGCTCTTTTCAGGAGGTACGTGTCGACAATGTCTTCGGCACTGTAAATGAAGGGCAATGCCCGAGAGCTGGTGACGTCTGTGTCGTCGGAGGAGCTCAGGAGCTGCTGCAGAGCGAAGATGGAGGAGTTGATCTTGCGTTTGAGCTTTGGATAGATGATTATTTCGTCATCTCGCAGATTTTGAAGCTTCTGCTTGAGCAGGAGAGCTGCAACTTCTGCAGCCATGGAGTCTCTGCGTGTGTGTGGGTTATGACTTATGAGGCATGAGCAACGAGATAGATTTTGTGTTTTTATTCCAATTGAATTAGCTTGAGCAGGAAAGCTGCAACTTCTTCAGCCATTCTACTTTTCAAGGATCCAAGAAATTCGAAACGTACGTATGAGGAAATGTTTTTACATCGTGTATTAGGATACTCGGACTTTCAATATACTAATCAGGATAGTCATAATTTCTTTTTATTTATTTATAGGAATTAGATAATTAGCCTTCGTTGAGGAAAATATTCTTTCCAAAAGGCTTATTGAAGAAAAGCATGTTACGTACTAGGTAGTCACCTTCACAAAAGAGAATGTTGTCCTATTAAAAGTGTAAAAAGAATTTACACGAGATATTTTTTTAGTACAACACCTATTAACAGAGCATGAAAGTCAGAATACCCGACATATTATTTATTGAGTATTTCCTACTTGGAATGAGTTAACTAAATTTCTACAGTACCAATGAACAAGATCAAAGGATTTAGACTATTATCGAGACTTAAAATCATTGCTCATACCAACCATTGATTGAAAACATTTTATTTTCTACATAGAACTACCAAGCTTGATAGAGCTTGAACTGCGCCAGCAGGGAACGGCAGGGGGGGGGGAGTGGGGCACATATCACCAACCTAACATTGTTTCATTTCTCGAGCTCGAGATTTACCTTTTTAAGGTGAGTATCCTTTTTATAAAGAAAAAACCAACATTGGAAGAATTAATATTTTGTATGTTGATAATGTCTATGCTGAGAATTCTATATGGCATCCTCATTCACTTATAAAAAAGATAAATCCTTTGTGTTGAATCTTGATGCTGACAAAGATTTAATATAAAATTACTCGTTGTTATAGCATTCTGAAGTTTAAGTGAAGGCAATTGCCACAGGATGCATCCAGGGCACACTCACGACTTGCGACACTTGTCGTTATGATTACATGGGGACAGGCGGGCTATAGTAACCTGGTGAGATTAGCTAGGGGTACTAATATTATATTTTCCAGCATAACATGCAAAGGGAACATTACACAGAACCCTGAACTTTAGAAGTAGTTCAGTTGTTACTCAATATCCCCGGAACTTTCATTTTATTGTGGGTGTTAACCCTCGGTTACTTTTAAGGGGTAAAAGTGTATTTTCACCTTATTTTTCGAAGGAAACCTTCTTATACCCTTAATTGCCTTAAAATGAAAGAAATATAGGAAACGGGAGTAAGCCAAATTAACTAAGATATTAATAATAGAAAAATCAATATAAATAATAATATTTAGCAATGAAAATTGTTGAAATTTGGTGAATGCAAGCACTGCACCAATGAAGATGGACCGCTCTTGAGAACGCGACTGCACCAATACTATGCATCGGCCCGGCATCTCTCGGTCCCTTAACCAAATCACTTGCTTGCACTAGAAAAAAGACAAAAAGGGAAAAGAAGAAGAAGAATGTGGTTCTCTTCCCATGAAAGTCGGGGTCCAAAATAATTGTCATAGACATGGTCCATGCCCAATAAAGAAATGCAAATTTCATAGATTATGCTCGTTATCATCAGTCTAATCCAATCCCTGAGACTAAGACATCACTATTTCTACTAAAATAATGAAGATTTAGGACAATTTACTTAGAAATATATATATTAAAATTATTTGCAAACATATCTTTAATTCTGAAGTACTTTCATCCTTTATTCTTCTTTACCTTTTTTTTTTTTTTTTTAATTTCATGTGACTTTGGTCTTTTCTCTTTAATGGTACTTTAATATTTGTCCTTCATGTTTCCAGACCTTTACTTTTGGTGCTGTCCATGGACATAATGTTACACGTTTCTCGGATGCGTTGCGCAAACTTGTCATCATTGTTAGCTTACCCGACCTAAAATTGAAAGGAACCTAATTAAGAAAAAATAGAAAAGTTTGTGTCGCAAACGAACCGTAATACCTCATCATCAATAAATCGGCTAGTATCACGAGAAGTTATTATGTGAATAGTTTATGTACACCAATACCATACGAGCCACAACAAAGATTATTTGCAATCTCAACCTGCTATTTGAAGTAATAAACATTTTAACTTTACGGTTTTCATGTCATTATCAACCATTCAACAGTTACAAGACTAGAATTGATTGATGGACAAGCCGGTCGATATCTCTTGATCCCTTTACCAAATCACCTGCTAGCTTTGGAAAAAAAAGTAAAAAGGAAAAAAAAAGTGATCCTCTTCCCATGAAAGTCATGGTCCAAATCAAAAGTCATATGACCGGTCTAATCCAATTCCCGAAACTAAGAACGACACTATTTCAACTTAAATAACGAAGATTTAGAAAAATTTATGTAGAAAAATATATTTATAAAATGATGTGATAAGTTCCTAAGGAGTGATTGAATATGTCTCATTTATTGAAATGCCAATTTCATTTTTTTAAAAATTATTTGTAAACATTTCTTTAATCTGAAGTAATTTCATTTGTTTTTGTTCTTTTATCTTCTTCTTTTTTCATTCTTGTGACTTTAGTCTTTTCTCTTTAACAGTACTCTAACATTTGTCCTTCGTGTTCCGTACTTTACTTTTGGCTCTATCGAGTTCCATTATTCTAAATGTTTCACGGATACCTTGCATAAATCTTGTTGGACACGAAAACGACAGCCATATCTCCATAGCTAGAATCTAGAATATAGTAATCGAGTAAAAGGGATTTGTGCATATGATTTAGAATCCATCGTTCTTGATCCGGAATAGTGATAATCCTCATTGCAAATTCTTCTCCTTTATTACCATCTGTATCACTAGCTCAATGAGATTGCCTCTCACAGTTAGCATTTACTCCTTATGTGAGATAATTTGTGCATTAGGGTTTAAGGAGGGACTTGAGCACTATTTACAGAGTTTTAAGCCAAGCCCTCTCATCACAGGCCAGGCTTTACTTGACTCACACTAGCCAGTCTCATATTAGACTATTTAAGAAACTTTATATCTTATCTTATTAGACCAAGCCCGTAAAATGGTTAATTGCAATCTCAATTAATGTAGCCCACATCAGAATAACTCTTACAAATCTGTCATCGTTGTTAATTTACCAGACCTAAAACTAAAAGGAACATTGCAAAAAAAAAAATATAGAAAAGTTTGTGTCATGAAGTCGCCGATATAACTCATCGCAAGTCAATCATTGATAGATTGGCTAATATTATAAGAAGTCATGTAGATAGTATATGTAGACTAATATCATCATAGCCACCGAATGTATGGATCTCATTGTGAGGCCCACATGATCTATGGCTAAAATAGTATTGATCTATATAAACTGGGCCTATGTGATCTAACCAATGATTTGGAACAACTAAGGCTATTCACAATTTAGCCTTGCCATTTGAATTAATAAATAATTTAACTTTATAGTTTTCATAAGATTATCAACCATTCGACAATGATAAGACTAGAATTGATCAACAGGAGGTCAGTTCATTAGGCCCGCTTTGGTCTGTTCAGGCCGAGGGGCAAAATAGACGGATCTAGGAAAGCAATTCTCTTCTTAGGCCTGGCCCACTCACCTTGGCCTGCCTAATTCGGCTTATTTTGTTTAGAAATTCAAATAGTTTTATAAGCATGGCTATCCGGAGCTAGGCCTCGTACCACGCCTCACCCAACCTATTTATTAAGAATATATCTCGATTTTGAGCCTATGAAAAAAGTTTAATCAGGTAAGTTTTCTAAATGGATTTGGATTTCTAGTTTTTTTGTTTTTTTTGGTGAAAGATTTCTAGTTTGAGCGGGTAACATGTTTTGGATCCACTTCTTACCACTTCTTATATAAGAAGTGATTCTTCTTGGTGAATTACATCCAAGATGCAACTTTTTTTGTGAATTACATTATGTAGCATTCAAGAGGAGTGTGACAAACAATTGTGCAGCGTGCTTGTAAATTACATCCCGAGTATTTGAAGTCATGAAAATCTTTTGTCAAGATTTTGTGTAATCCCTCTGGCGAGATTGAGATATTGTTTCGCAATAAATTGTGAGAAAAGACATCGTATGAGTTATTGGGGGTAACTGGGGATAAAAAACATTTAGAGTGTTTAAGTGACTCGAGTATGGCTGAATAATGTACTGCTCACCGATTGAACCGCATTTTTTTTGTTCTATTTATTTATTGTTCGATCAATTGTTTTTCGCAATACTTTTGATCCAGTTCAAGAAGCACTGAATGTCACTTGCGAGAAAACTCCTCATTTCCAGTTTACAAGGAATTCGGCTTCAATATGACGTGTTCAGGCCTATTTCCTTTTAATTATAAATTAGTGAACAAATGCTTGAGAGCATATTTAAAGTCCGGCTGGGTGAACTGACTCCCGGTGATCATTTCTGTTTAACTTCCAAATTCTTATCACCAACTCATCCCTCTCTCTTTCTCAGAGAAACAGAAAACCAATCATAATGGAGGTGCTTCGCGCGGAATTCTGGAGGAAAATTTGGAACTCATGGGAGCTGAGAGCCATGGTGGTGTTCACACTAGCGGTCCAAATCATACTCATTTTCTTCGGCTACAAGAGGAAGTCCAGCTACAATCTCAAGCTCAGGATTGCCCGTCTGGTCTGCGTACCTGACTGCAGATTCCGCGGCCACCATCGCCCTCGGAGTCCTCTCCAGCAAGCTTGGAGACACGAACGAGAGAAATGGCGGTAGCCTCGGCGACAACGACAAGTTGCTCGCGTTCTGGTCCCCACTGCTTCTGATGCTCTTGGGTGGCCCTGACACAATCACTTCCTATTCTTTGGAGGACAATGCACTCTGGCTCAGGCATTGCCTTGGCCTAGCGGTTCAAACGTCAGCCACAACATATATCATCTTCATGGCCTGGACAAGCTCTTATCTCTCCTACCTCTCATCGGTAATGGCATTGGTTGGACTCGTAAAGTACAGGAAGAGAGCGTGCGCTCTTTGGATGGCGAGCAACGACAAGCTCAAGCAGTCGATGCTGGCCCCGCCTGATCTGAGCCCGAATTACCCCAGCTTCATGGAGGAGTACACTTTGAAGCAGGCTGAGGAGTATTACGTTGTGGCTGATGAGGTGATAGAGGTCCAAGTGCTGGAAGCTATTCATAGTAATGGTGATGATCTGGCGAATGATTCTGATGTCATTGTGAAATCCTATGATCTGCTTCAGATGTTCAAGTGCCTCTTTGTTGAGTTGATACTCAGCCATGACGAGAGGAATACTAGCAAGTCCATATTCAAGGCAATCGATTGTGTGAAAGCTTTTAGGATCGTTGAGATCGAGCTTGGGTTCATCTACGATTTGCTCCACACGAAGGCAATGGTGCTTTACACCAAGTGGGGAATCCGACTCCGCTTGTTCACTTTCTTGTCCACTCTGTTGGTGCTGGTGCTCTTCTCTTGGGCCCAAAAGTCTCACCTGTCAAGGGTTGATCTTTCCATCACTTACTTGTTGCTGGCCGGTACGGTTTTCTTCGAGACCTATTCGATTTTGATGCTGGTTTCCTCAGATTGGAGCGAAGTTTGGTTGCGCAAGCACGACAAGAACCGTGCCTGGAGACGTGCCATGAACCTTATAAGATTGCCTAGACAACCCAGTGGTCACATTCAATTGCCCAATTCAGCTTGCTAAGCTTTTGCAGTAAAGAGAGGCCCTTGGTTTGCCAAAATGTGCTTGAGTTCTTGAAGATCACGGAGAAGCTAGAGAAGTATCACTACACCCTCCATGAAGACGTATCCAACGAGATTAGGAATCTGTTCTTTCGTCATGTCAAGGAAGATCTATACTACATAGAGGAGTACCATTTGCCAGTTCGCATGGATCTTCAGAAATCTCTCGCTAAGCTACTCGATGGTTATGGCCTCTCTCAAGTTGAGTGGGCAACCGAGGGGGATTTCGACCAGGTTGTCCTAACTTGGCACATTGCCACTGAACTATCGTACTACTCTGATAAAGAGACAGTGGAGCGAATCCGGCCTCCCTCATTTTCGGGAGAGCAAGCTTCTCTCCAGGTACATGCTTTATCTTCTGGTTATGTACCCCTCCATGCTGCCCAGTGGAATTGGGGAAATAAGGGTCCGCGACACTTCTGCCGAGGCCTTAAAGTTCTTTGAGGATCACCAAATGCCCAATTCCAAATCTAATCGAGAGCCCAATTGAGGGAAGAGTAATGAAATGAACTCGTATCTTCAGCGAGCTTCTAAAATGCTGCTAGAGGTGAACACAGAGGTTCCACCGAGTAAAGTGAAAGGCGGAAAGAGCAAGTCTGTGTTGTTCGATGGATGCAGGATCGTGGCGGCGATAAGAGAGAGAAATAAGCATAAAGTGGGAAACGATTGGGAAGTTCTGGGTGAAGATATTGATTTACGCCGCGAGCCAATGCAGAGGGGATCGTCATGCTGGGCGGCTGAGGCGAGGGGGAGAGCTTCTGACCCATGTTTGGCTCATGATGGCTCATTTCGGCCTGACTGATCATTTCCAAAAGACCCAAGGCCAGGCCATTGCTAAGCTCATATTGAGATAGGCCTTGATTCCGAGTAATGATGAATCCATATCCGGGTTTGGTCCGTCTCAATCGCCATTGAATGGAGTCTTCCAAATAAAGTAACACAGATTCGAGCTTACATTCATACACAGGTGATCAGTCAATGTAGCATGATATTTAGTGGTTGATGTTGTCACACCCCCAACTCTACAAGTACAAGGGCAATGACACAGCCATCTTTTTACGCAAAAGATGAAGTTTCAAACATAACCATCAACAATCTGTTATCGAAATATGTACATCCATATATATTTGACAAAAGAGTCAATTGGTTACAATAAAAAAGATCTATATACATTTCCAACAAACAACTAACTCATAAGTTTATCATAGACATATATAACTCATACAAAAAAATGCCAACTATGAAAATGTTCTCCTTTGATAACGATAGTGTTCTCATTTTACTTACGGCTCACTGAAAAACCTAAAAAGCAATTAAAATGAATAAAATGAGCAACCATAGCCCAATGAGTAGTACTTCTCTGCTAAGCAGATCTAATATTCACTATGTATCTTTATAAACTGATACCATAATTCTTCAATCCCAAATTCAGTATAAATATCAAAAGTGGATGATTTGTCCAACAAAACATTTTACATTTAAGATGAATCAACAATTTCAACTCACAATAACAAATCAACTATCAATAGTCTATTTCATTGATCAATTTCAATTAAATCAAACATCAATGATCGAATCCATCATCTAATCTAATGCTCAATATCGAACTATGGTCACACTTAACGCCCATGACAAAGGCGACCAAGTTTACCTTTCTTGGCTTGGTCTCCACTTATATCAGCCGATGGTTTAGCCGAGAAGAACATCATAATAATAGTATGCATACGTACCCCCTACATGGGTTCTAATTAGGGGTGAGCACGGTTCCAGGGTAGAACCGGGAACTGAAAAACCGAACCGGCGGGTAAGATTCGGTTCCCGGTTCTAGGGTGAGCGGTTCCGGTTCTCGGTTCCAATTTTTTAGGAACCGCCGGTTCCGGTTCCGGTTCCCGGTTCTCGGTTCCGGTTCCGGAACCGACGCTCTTCCTAGTAAAAAATAAAAACCCTAACTTTTCTTCACAAATTTCTCTCTCGGTTGCTCCTCCGTTGCGCCCTCTCTCCCACTCCCCACACCCACGACTCGACGAGACCCTCTCGCCTCTCCTCGCTCCGTTCGGCGTCCGCCTCGGCTCTTCCTCTGTCTTCATCAACCACGGTCCGGCTCATCCACGGCGGATTTCCGAGTCTGGGTTCTTTTGGTGACCAATCGAGCGGCCTGTGGCTGGAGGCGCAAGAAGGGAGCGAGCAAGGAAAGAGTAAGCGTCAGTTGACGCCTGCGCTCCCTCTGCCCACTCCTCCCCTCGCCAAGGCATGGGCTCGAACCCCTCGACTTCTATCATCGATGCGACCTCGAAATTTGACGTCTTTTCTTTGGGTGGTGTGGTTTCAGTTTCAGATCGGGCTATGCCAACTTTCGGTGACGGCGGATAAAGAGAGGAACATTGCCCATGCTCGCGACGCGATTCGGGAAATTTTTTTTTCTTTTCGAAAATGGGCATCAAGGTAGTTCCACCTCCCTCTTCTTCATTGTTGATTGAGTCGTCCGTTGATTTCGATAGGGGCTGACGAATTAAGCTACTGGCGGACAATGCCCCTAAGGCGATGAGGGAGCAAAGGCCGGAGAGCTACTGCCGGAGGATCGCCGTCGATGCCAAAGCATGAGCATCTATCGCCCTCGATAAGTGCTTTGCTTTTTATGAGTTGATGTTCCTGATTGATTGTGTGTTTCGGTGTTGGCGGGGATTTGGATTTTGAGTGTTGGGGGTTTTTTTTGGTCTTTGATTGGGGGATCAGGTTGTGGTTAGGAGGAAGAGGACTCGATGCTCACCAATGAGGCCGGTCAAGTCACCGGGTACCACTAATGGCATCGGAATACTCCATGGAAATGATAATCCACTTTGCTCGAGTTTCTGTTTTGATGCTTCAGTTGTTATTGCTTGGACTGGGGTTTATGTATATGAGATCGACGTGTGTCACATTATTTTGTACTTGCCATGTGATCTTTGTTCTTGGGAAGTGTTGACTTTGAGCTGCTTTTTGATTTGTCGTCTCATGTAGTCATCTGCAAGGCATGCATTACCGAACGATTAGGCTGTTGGAAGCAGGGATATAGCCAGTGTAAGCGTTTTTCTTTACCTCCTATGTTTTCATTGGGATAGAATGCTAAGAAGAATGAAGTTTGTGCTTCTCTGAATTATGCTTTATGTTGTTATGATAGCTATGTATTTGATGGTAAACCTCCTGATTTGAAGAAGCAAGAGCTCGCACAACGGTACTTTATTATTATGTAGCCTTCTCTTCTCTCGTTTTTTTTTTAATTGTCTATGAATACGTTTAGTTACCTTAAATGTGAAGGTTTGTCTTTGTTTTGATCACTTGCTTACTGTGCGATATTTTAGTTCTATTCGATGAGAAGTTTGATGTTGTCTCTATTTTCCAGAAAAACCTATCTATGTAGCTAACCAGATATGTGTGCGCATGTGGTACATGGCTTTGATACCATTGCAGGTGACACAACAGCACAATGAAGACTGCAAAAAACTATTGAGACTTATGGGTATCCCAGCAGTTGAGGTTACTATTCTGTCTGAGAAGTTCATTCTTCTTTATTCGTAACAAAAATGTTAGATACCAGATTCAATTTATGTATGTCAGGCCCCTTCAGAAGGAGAGGCACAATGTGCTGCTCTTTGAAAAGCTGGAAAGGCATGTATCTTCCTGGTTGATCGTCTTCTGATTTAGAATAATTCATTGTTATCTCATAATAATCCAATCATCTAACTCTATGGAAATGACATTTTTTTTTTGCATGATTTCGTGTAGCTGCGGAAAGTTTGGATGTGCCTCCTGATTGCAAAATGGGAAATTTATGGCTTACAAGAACTTTGTATACCTTATCAAATGCCCTTTTGTGAAGGCATGCACTAGAAGAAAGAATGGATAAAAGCATATTGACCAGGCACGTGTCTGTTTCATCAGTTTTGGGTGACTTTCTATGGCTAAGTTCTTATTGATGCTTATGTAATTGCTATGTTTTTATATTGCAAGCTTTGGCTTCCAGTAAAATCAGCCATATTTGCAGCCTGTGCCATTCTATAAAAGGAGGGAAAAATCACGCAGCTTGCCTCATGGTTTTGTTGACTCTGTGCCAGGAAATATGGAACAGTCCCTATTCAAATGATAGCTTCCCTGTTTATGCTGAGGACATTGATGGAGGTTCATCTCCTTCGACTGCTATGTTATCTGAAGCTGCTAAGGCCTTGAAGGTTACCATAGTGGGCAGTTCAATCCCAGAAAAGATGTGGTGATCGATTGTACAACGCTTGCTGTGTTTTTGGTTCCATTGGAGTGCTGAAAGCCAAGCACCACAAGGTAACTTTTCTTTCCTTAAGTAACTATGTATGAAACATTTAGTTGCCTGAGTCTTTTGGTCTATTTGTTGTTTGAGTTGTTTTCTTTTCTTTTCTTTTCTTTTTGGCTCTATGCAGACGTTGGACGTATTGGTATAGGCATCTGTTATGATATTCGGTTTCAGGAATTGGCAATGATTTATGCTGCAAGGTAGGTTTCGTTTCCTCTTCGTCTATTTTGCATTTCCTACAATGTTGACTGCATACTGGTGCTGGGGCTGCCACTGGCCCAGTCTATGCAGTTCGAAAGTAAGAAGATTTCTGACAGTAAACATGTATGTCTTAAGTGGTGGACCTTTGGATTGTTTTCCTTTGATTTATTTTCGTTTTATCCCTTCCAATGATTTTTAAGTTGAACATCAGCAAAGTAAGCCTTGCACAAAGGGGACTTAGCTGTATAAATGCTTTTACGACATTGCGATATGTCCTCTATTGCTTTTTGTATAGAAGATATCTCTTTGCAATATTGATTCCAAATTAGCTAGTTTTTGCCTCCTCCACTATTATATTGTTTTAAGTTTCTTTCCTAGATTAATGAGGTTTGCTATTGGTGTTGCTAATTGGCCTTTTATTGACAATATCATTCTACTAATTATATTTGCACTGATCCACTGATAATAAAGTTATATGATGCTGAACTCTTGGTGTTTTCTATTCTGCATAAATGGATCTAGGTTGTTAGATAATATCCCCTTTCTACTAAGCGAAATATTGTTTTTTAATACCTAGTCATTGTTGCGTTTATTTTCGTTTTGTTTAATTAAAAACGAAATTAAAAAAAAAGAACCTGTTGGAACCTCGAACCGACCCTGGAACCTGTGACAGGGTAGGTTCTAGGTTCCACGTTCTGACGGGTAGGTTCCAGGTTCCAAAAAATGAGGAACCTGTACCCGAGGGTAGGTTCCAGGTTCCAAGCGGAACCGAACCGGAACCTGGAACCGCTCACCCCTAGTTCTAATCATAGCGATATAAGCACAATACACTAATAGCATTCTCCATAAATCCACAAATCAAATCCATAATTCATATCATAATTCGGTTTCATAAACCGAATTATATAATCTTTCTCAATTCCATTTATCAAATAGAAAGTATTTCATGAAGCATTTCACAAATCAGTACATGTAGCTTTTGGCAATTCCTTTCACAAAGCATTTAATTAAGACATTTACAAATGATCATTTCAAACTATTTCAAATAATGTCTTCCAATGCCTTGTCAACCGACTAAAAAGGTAGTAAAAAGTCAATCCAATTTATGCAAGAAAATTGCTCTTTCATAACTTATACTATATTAAATTTCTACCACTTTCAAGATATGAGTTTGTAAATTCATTGAAGAGGTACACTCACATGGGAAAGCTGAAACCAATATACAAAGGTTACTCAAATCGATGAACTCATATTCTTATCAATTAATTGAAAAGCAAAGTTACAACCAAGTAAAACTCTACTTTAACTAATAACTCAACTAGACTATGCTTAATTGTCGATAAAACGATTCCTACGCACTAACACAGAAACTCGTTTATAGCGAACGTTTATCTTTGTCCGTTACACAAATTGACCATTACGCGAAACTTCATAAATTTGTTGCAATCATACTGTAGTTTGAAATCGATTTTTGTCAAACCCTACGGCTCTACAATACCCTAAATTATCATTTCTATATAAATTCACAACTCAATAACTCCTCAATTGAATCTTGTAATTCAAAATTGACATAACTTCGGATTTATGACCTAATTTCGAAAATTGCTCTAATTAGACGAATAATGGGCTTTAATACTTCCTGGGCGTTGTAATTTGGAGTTGATTTGGCTTATCGGGATGTCCGAAACGACTACACGTGAAAATTTCTCTTTCTTCTTTTCCTCTTTTCCTATTCACAAGCGAGCTTTGTTTTCTCCGCTGGCTTCACGCTTCTTCTTTTCCTTTTCTCTTTCTTCTTTTCCACTTTTCCTATTCACGGGCGAGCTTTGTTTTCTCCACCGGCTTCACGGTTCTTCTTTTCCTTTTTATGCTCATGCACAAATCTGTTGAAGTAGAAAGGAAAATGGGATAGGCTTGGGTCTTAGGAACATGGGCTAGGTTGAGCCATTATTACATATGTGAGCCAATTTAGTTGTTGATCCAAGCTTTTAGAAAGGACTTAATGGCATCATTATGCCTTCTTTTGGTGATATTGTCTAACAAAATTAAATTCCAAAAACGTGCGAAGAATGTTATGATTTATGATTCTTGTTTCTTCGGGGACTGGACTAATGGTTTGACTAGCAACTAGACTTGTCAAATGGACGGATCGAGTCAGGTTTGGATCATGTCGAGAATGGTCCGACTCAAATAAACTTATTTTTATGCAATGCAAATCTAGTTATCCATACACGATGAGACCCAAACCCAACCCATACCTTACCCGACTTGTATTCGCAACATACTTTCATAATTAACTCAATTTAGGAAAACTCATATCTAAACTAAGATAAAAGTGCGGAGCGAGTGAGCGCGAAAAAACTCATACTTTCATAATTAATTTTTATTCATACGTCAAAAATTACCAACTATTTTAACAATCTATCAACATTTATTTTTATGGCTTACCAACACTGTGGAAATTTAAATTATCAATCTTAATTTGACTGATATACCAATATTTGTCAAGATAACAACATATTTTAATCATTTGGTAACATTTTGTCTTGGTTTTGAATAGTATCAACACTCCTTAAACTATTTTAATAACGTACCAATATTTATTTTTATGACTTGCCAACACTTTTTGAAGTTATGAACTTTTATTGAAATTACCAATTTTAATTTGAGTGATATACCGACATTCGTCACATTGAGATATCAGCTAATTTTAGTATCTTGCTTGATTAAAAAATGTAGCAAGAATTCTTTATACTTTCAAGATTACTAACTATTTAACGAGTTACCAACATTTATTCTTGTATGTCAATTCGAATGCCCTTGAAGTAACTGATCAATCATACCAATCTTCATCATATTAAAATAAAGGTTAATACGACGACAAACCCAAACTGGTACACCTATGACAATTTTAGCCCAAACTAATTTTTTGACCACCAAAAATTCAAAAATGATACGCCTATGACATATTTACCCGAAATTTATTTCCGTTAAATTTTACCGTCAAATTGCTTTGTTAAATGACACATGACAGTTAACTAATATACAAGTTTTATGTTTTACCCTCTGTTTGTCATGGGTGTACCAGTTTGCGATTTTTTGTGGTATTAATCCAATTTAACGAAAATTAACAGATGGTAAATTTATCATAAATGTATTAGTTTGGGGTTTTTAGTAGTCAAAGTATTAGTTTTGGGTAAATTTGTCACAGATGTACTAGTTTAGTATTTTTGGTGGTCAAAAAATTAGTTTGGGGTAAAATTGTCACTAGTGTACCAGTTCGTGGTTTTTCGCGGCCATGGCAAGGGAGTGTGGCCGGTACTCAGCCATCCCTAGACGATGTTCATGGTTGGCGGGCAAAGAGCTCCTCTATAGAGAGTTATGATCAAAACTATTTACTTACTAATGTTGAATCTTGGGAGCACATCATGGTGGGAATCAACAAATGAGACAACTTTCAGGTTCCCTTCTATAGGTGGGAAAGGAAACATGAAAATGGACCGCTCTTGAGAATGCGACTGTACCAATGCTATGCATTGATCCGGCATCTCCCGGTACCTTAACCAAATCACCTGCTTGCACTAGAAAAAAGACAAAAAGGGCAAAAAGAAGAAGAATGTGGTTCTCTTCCCATGAAAGTCGTGGTCCAAATCAATTGTCAGAGACATGGTCCAAGCCCAGTAAAGAAAAGCATATTTCAAAGATTCTGATCGTTAACGTCGGTCCATTCCAATCCCTGAGACTAAGGCATCATTATTTCAATTAAAATAATGAAGATTTAGAACAATTTACTGAGAAAAATATATATGTTTTAAAATTATTTGCAAACATATCTTTAATTCTGAAGTACTTTCATCGTTTATTCTTCTTTACCTTTTTTTATAATTTCTTGTGACTTTGGTCTTTTCTCTTTAATTGTACTTTAATTACTGTCCTTCATGTTTCCAGACCTTTACTTTTGGTGCTGTCCAGTGACATAATGTCACACGTTTCTCGGATGCCTTGCGCAAACTTGTCATCATTGTTAGCTTACCCGACCTAAAATTGAAAGGAACCTGATTAAGAAAAGATAGAAAAGTCTGTGTCGCAAACGCACCGTGATACCTCATCATCAGTAAATCAGCTAGTATTACGAGAAGTTATTACGTGAATAGTTGATGTACACCTATACCATATGAGCCATAACAAAAATTATTCACAATCTAAACTTGCTATTTGAAGTAAAAAAAATTTGGGTTAATATCACGAAAAATTTAAAACTGGTACACATGTAACAATTTTACTCCAAACTAATTTTTTGATCACTAAAAATTTCAAACTAGTACACCTGTGATAAATTTACCTCAAACTAATTTTTTGATCACTAAAAATTTCAAACTAGTACACCTGTGATAAATTTACCTCAAACTAATTTTTTGACCACCAAAAACTTCAAACCGGTACACTTGTGATAAATTTACCCTCCGTTAATTTCTGTCAATTTTTATTATTAAATTTGCTGAAGTGTATGACACACGGTAATGTGGTATGGTGACGTGAATCCACAGGGTAAATACCACGAAAACATAAAATTTGTCAGCTAAAGTAGGGTAAATTTGTCACAGAATTACCAGTTTGGGATTTTTGGTGGTCAAAAAGTTAGTTTGTGGTAAATTTATCACAGGTGTATCAGTTTAGAGTTTTTCATTATCAAAAAATTAATTTTGGATAAAATTATTACAGGTGTACCAGTTTAAAATTTTTCCTGATAAAAAAATTAATTTAAAATAAATTTATTACAAATATATCAATTTAAAATTTTTTATGATATTAACTCTAAATATTTTAACTTCATGATTTTCATGTCATTATCAATCATTCAAAGTGACAAGACTAGAATTGATCGATGGACAGGCCGGTCAAAATCTCCTAATTCCTTTGCCAAATCACCTGTTTGCTCTGGAAATAAGCAAAAAGGAAACAAAAAATGTGATCCTCTTCCCATGAAAGTCAAGGTCCAGATCAATTGTCATATCACCAGTCTAATCCAATTCCTGAAACTAGGATCAACGCTATTTCAACTTAAATAACGAAGATTTAGAAAAATTTACATAGAAAAATATACTTATAAAATAATGTGATAAGTTCCTAAGGAGTGATTGAATATCCCTCATTTATTGAAACGCCAATTTCATTTTTTTTATAAATTATTTGTAAACATTTCTTTAATCTGAAGTACTTTCATTTGTTTTTGTTCTTTATCTTTCTTTTTTTTTTTTTCGTTCTTGTGACTTTAGTCTTTTCTCTTTAACCGTGCTGCAACATTTGTCCTT